GAGACAGAATGGCAGTGTTACACTGAGTTTTGGCAACACAAAGTGTCTTTTAAATAGGTCCAAATGCAAAGAATATCTGCAGTTAACTATCCCACTCACATACAGCTATGTCACTAGTTATTACCATAAGCTATGGATACTAAGGACTCAAATTTCAGCCTGCAAGTAACTTTAAGTGCATTGAGAAAGTGAATGGTATGGCTTTTTTAGCTGCTACTAAGCTAAGCTAGCAGTTCAAGTAAGCTTAGGCACAAAGACAGTAATGCAACCTACACAAAACTGTCAATACCAGAAGTTGCTTGCAGCAAGGTTGTTTGAGGGGTTTGGGAAGCATACGCTGTCAGGAGAAGCGTGCTGTTCCTTTATTGTAGTTAAAGGGTACCTCCCTATCTAGGCTGCAGCTATTGGAATATTTTTACTTGGTGTTCAAACAATGCTATCAAATCATTTGAGCTTAAACTGTCATTATTAAATGTCTGATTCACAGAAGATATGCACTATGTTGGATGTCAGATAAACTAGAAAAGCAATGATCAACATCAGCCTGCACTGTATCTGTAGCTAAAGACCTGTGTTTAGGTAAAGGCATTCAGTGCTTTACTCCCATGGCAGAGGCATATGCAGATCCAGTCTCCAATTGCATAGCAATATCTACATCACTTATTAAGGTTTCATTTTGGTGGGTCTTCAGAAGGAGCAAAAGGTATTCAGGATGCGTCCTAGACATGGGACAGAGCACTAGCAGTTTGGAAGGGAAGAGAAGTAAGCTCAACATCAAGCTAGGAGACACTGGCTTTCCAAGCAACAGTGTGTCATGAGGACTTGCTTGTCTTAAACTTACTACAGGAATGAAAATGTACTCAGAGTTATCAGATGATCCCCACATTTTCAGATGAAAAACATGCATCTTACAGTTTATTCCTAATTAACTATATAAATCTGCAAACTTTTTCTCTAGCCAAATGTTCACATCATACTGAATCTTTCCATAGCTCTAGCCATCTTATTCCTTCATTCTGTGGCATCCACCAGTACAACCAATTAAATGAGGAAAAAAAAAAAAAAAAGAAAAGCTATGCTGCAGCAGCAGCTAACATCACTGATCTACTGAGTGATATTTCACCTGAAATAGACTACATTATGGATTCCTTAATTAGGAGAAAAGCCCTGAATAACCAGCAACCTCCCACCTCTTAGCACCTTTATGCTCATTTTAACTTACCTTTACAAGGTCCTTTACAACATCCATTTTGTTGAGCAAGAGACAAACCACTATAAACCTTGCATAGTAACGCAGCTTCTTAACCACTAATTCAGGCCTAAACACAACAACAAAAACACCACAGCCAAATCTGAGATTAAAATAGAACATAGGTAGGCAACAGGGGTAAGGGAGAGGAGGAGTTTAAGACTAGAGCAAGGCTGAATACTCTGCAGATTAAGAGTTCTAACTGAATTCATGTGGAGATCAATAGCTATCTGGCTGCTTAGAGGTTTATTTAAAATTGAGTACAGGGACATAAAACACACATCAAGAAAGCCACAGCCTCCCCCTTCTCCACAGTCTCCTTACACGAGAACAGGCATGGGAGTCAGATATAATTGCTGATTCTGCAAACTTTTTGACAGTTCATGGGCACTATCTGACCCCACTGCATTACATGATAGTCACAGCTGGCTCAGAGTTCACCCACCTGGGAAACTTAGAGATCTGCAAGCCAGCATAGCCCATAATTACTTATCCATTTCTAAAATCTTCTGACAGCATCTAGAAACATGCTTGGTCAATCCTACCTTGTCTGACACAGCTCAAGCACTCAGACTGAAATTGAGAGATTTTTAAGAGAAAGATAATAGGATCAACAGATATCAGAACAGAGCAGGGAAACTTTCATCTTTTTGTGGCACAAAGGTGCATTTAGACATTGGCAAGACTAGAGATGTGCAATTACTTTAAGTCCAGAGATCCTTGAATGCTTGGCAGGAAACTCCCTAACTAACCTTCTGCATTTATCTTTATGATGACTTCAAATCATTTCTTCTTTAACTTTAATGAGGGAACCCAGGTTTACTGGCTAGAATGTAAAATCAGGATCCAGAACAGGTTCTCTACCTATTCTTATTTATATCTGTCTATGTTCTCAGCAGGCAGCACATTTTCTGCACTGCCACAACACAGCCCTGCTTTGAGTGTACCTTTCTCAGTATAGTGTCTTAAAAGGAAGATACGCCTCCTGAAGCTCTTGGACCTTGTCCCAGTTAGTTACAGAGAGCTGTCATACTGCAGTACTAACTGGTGTTCCCCTGAAGAGCCTGATTAGAATCAAACAGGTTCCTCTGCTTCAGCCCAACTGACCTATCTCCCAGCCACAGCATACTAGGTCCCAGCACTGATACTGCTCAGGACTCAAAATAACAAAACTTTGGGGCTAATAGCTTTCTAGCCAGGACCAAGTAATAGAATATTCCTCCATTCAAACAGCAAAGCTGTTATTTATACTGGGGTTTTTAATCATGGCAGGAGGATTAAAAGAAATTTCCTTGAACACTGATTTTATCCCAGTTATACTCCTACAGTTTGTAGTTATCTGCTGCTTTCATACACCATTCTAGTCTTGAAAAAACAAGGGCATTCATTCAGACATACCTGTCTTCTTTGTTGACTTGGGAGTAGTATGACCTCTGCCTAATTGCTGAATAGAAGGAGAAAGCTTCATTGAGATAGCTGGTTTCCGAAGTGCGCAAGCTGCAGACGAAGAATCAGATTAGCTCACTGCTTCAGATGGAAATCCATGCCAAACCCTCCCTTACTGCCCCCTCAACCATCTTGGGCATCAATGGCAAAACTCCCTCCTCAAGTATCATTGTATGAAAGCCAGACTCTCATTCTTTGTGCCTGCTGGGAAGACAGATTTCAGAGCTTGGATTCCATTTCAGACAACAATCAAATCTACCCATCTTGTACCCATATGTACAGGTGACAGGTTAACTGAAAAGTTTAAAGGAACATTAAGCTCCCAAACTTGTAAAACATGCTTTTGCGCAAGAGTCAAATGCAGCACACATGGAAGACTTACAGATGCTTTTGAGGTAGGAGCTAAGTCCCTAGGCAGTATCAATTGACTAGGAATGTGGTTATCGGGCTCACAGGTGCCTTTCTCTGTAGCACCCCCACGCAGTCCCAAGGGCCTTCTCATTCAGAAACAGGCATCATGACTCAACTGATACATTGACTTCTCCTGACTGAGCATCCAGTTGTTTGGCATGGAGCTGCCACTAACACTGCATTCCCCTACTAAATCCTTTTCTGTGCTTACTTACTAATAATGGTAATAGAGCTGCCCAATCTTGGAAGCAATTTCCCCAATTTGCCACCGCTTCAACCCATACCGATTGTCCAATACTTGTCTATTTCGCAAGAGAGAAAAGAAAGATTAAAAGGCATTCCAGAATTTCTCAGAACATCACACCAGACAAGACAAAGAGTCATTGTAGGGCCAAACTGAGCTTTCATTACTGGTGTGGCATTCCCAGTAGCAGTCCCTCACAGAGTCAACAACACTGCATATGCACACCAGAACAAGGACCATTTATCTTGCATAAACCTGCGAGAGCTAGACATAAGTATGTTGCACAAAATACACACAACAAAAGGTCACAACTTCCCAGGAGAACACAGACTACGCAGCCAACATAACGTGTGAAAGATCAGAGCCCACGCTGCAGCAAGACGCTTCACACCATTCCAGATGGGTTCTGGGTTCTGCACTGCAGAACCCATCATCCCAGCTTCTCCTTGGTAATATATTAAAGCAACATGCATTCAAGTAGAGCAAAAGGTTTTGTTAAAAAGTCAAACTGAAAATTCTGCAACATTTTAATTAATTAGACTGTGGGCACTACAGGAAGTGACTATTCTCTCCCTTCATGCTTGAATAACACAGTGAAATCTCAGTCTTAACTGGGGGTCCTAGGCATATGAGAGATTAAAGTTGCACTTAAATCCACAGAACACGTCTGCCTACAACATTCCCTCACCGATGTTGCTGTTGAAACTTCCAGAGTTTGGTGTAAACGTCAAACGTTCGCCCAAAATAGGATTGCCACTGCTTCTGCCCATACTGAGGTAAATCCCTGCAACAGACAAGTGACAAATGCAGAGTTAGGGAGTAGATTCTGGTCAGCCCAGTGTGGCAGCAGCAAATTTGTGTCAATGTCAGAATAGCTTTGTTCAGAATTGACCTGAAATGCTTTATAACTCTGCCTGCACCCAGAACTACAAGAACTATGATTTCTGTAGTTTCTCAAAACCTGTTGTTACTGGAATCTGCAAGGAAATCCTGTTTAGCTTGTAGGAAGTACACATATCAAGATCTGACTATAATATCCCTAAAAACAGGCCACAAGCCAGACAGCAGATTAATTTAGCATATATACAAGAAAAGGCCGCATATACATATATATGAGAAAGCAGCATGTATTGGGAGGAGCAAGAAATTCTTCAGTGCTGTCTCCTAATTATTGCTTCCTAGTTACAGACAAATTTTCTAGTCACTTTTCAAATGCGAAAGGATTGAAGTTACCAGTGTTAATAAAGGTCCCACACATTTTGCAAATCTTCCAAGTGATTGCCTACATTTAATCACTGTGTGGGGACACAGAGAGCCAATGTCTCAAACTCCCTGAGCCCTGCAGGTTCCACACAAAAAGGGGCAATGCTATAACATCAAATTAAAGGTGTGCAGCCTAACCCAAAGTTTTTGAAGTAAAACTTTTCCTACTAAGACAATAATGCAGCCTTCAAATGCAATAACTGTAATTCAATCACTTATTCAAAGAACAGCAGAGTTATTTTAGTTATTCTAGTGTCTATTGCCAGTCAATATCCCCAATCCTTAATGTCCTACCCGAGAGCGCTTGTCCAGCTGCAGACTGACAGTCCCCCTGCAAAAGGCTGACTTTCCCTCTCCAAAAGATTCAACAAGATGGGTCCTGTCCAACAGCTTCCAGCAGTTGCACAGGTAAACATTCACTTTTAAGTCAGTTATGAAACACACAGTATATGTACAGTGTATTTATATGGTATTTGTTACAAACATATGGCATACTGTACACATGATCCTATTTTCTCCAGATGTGCCTGGGATTCTGGAATGGCTACTCCAACATGTAGGATAGCAGCAGATGGAGGCAGTGCTCTCCATGAGCGAGTTAACATGAGTCAAGTGATTGGATATGTGCAAAAACATTGGTATTTATGGACAAATACAGTCTAAAGGAATCCATGCCTTCTAACCCACGTAAACATGCTTTTATCAAGGTTCCTCAATATTAACAGGTTCTCAACAGCATCAGAACAGGCCTACAAATAATCACCCCAAATAGGAAATGACCATGTAGCTAAATGCATTTTTCAACAGGTGATTGAAAACATCTTACCATGTTGCTAAAAGAGAAGTAATTTTATGGTTATATGCACAGAAAGCTATATTAGACACTTAAAATATCACAGTAAAAAAAAACCAAACCAACCTACCCAAGAGCAAGCAGAATAATCTAATGAAAATTAGTTCATTTAGACTGATAATATTTCTTGCTACTCATTAAGGAGATAGTCTTTTTTTTAATGGATGAGGCTGTTCACTGTGTTTCAGAAACAGACCCTATAACATCATACATAAATCAGCTGTCTAAATGTCACCAGGTCAAGCAAGCATACGGATGGTCACAGCTAACGTTCACTGGCTCAGGTTACATCATCACCACAACAATTGTCACCTTCTAACTCATACTTAGTGATATGTCAGAATCTGAGACCTTCTGGGTTTTTCATATCAGCCTCCAGTGCTATAAGGTGAGGTCGTCAATCCAGTTCATTTCTGCTTTCATACCTCCACTCGATTTCCATGCTGTGATATATTTCCCTCCACCTCCACTCCACAACTATGATGTAGTCGTAAGGATTTTAGGTTTAAAGGTTTGTGTTCTCAGTCCTAACAGAAGGCTGTCACCTGGGAGCTACTTGAATCTTGGAACAAATGCAACAGAGAAGACCAAAAACCCTCAGTCTCACTGAGCACGTTGACTACAAATCTATACTGAAGCTGATTCAAAGGAGGTATACAACTCTACAAGTGGAAGAGGAACAGCTTTTTCAAGATGGCATAATCTTTCATTTGATTCATGAATGATTTCTTCAGGGACTGCTCTCCCAAATCACTGTGCCAGTTAACATACCATTGAACACCTTAGTCTTCAGCAGACAGGCACAGAAAAGCAGCATATTCCACTTCCAAGCCTGGGAGGTCCAGACTGAGGGAAACACCACCTTCTGGAAACCATGCTGTGTCCTCTGGAGGAGTAAGACAGGGAAAGCAGTACACTACGATTTCCAGAGCAGCGTACTGGCGCATTTCTGCTAACTGTAATTGCTTTAACAGCACCCTAGGTGGAAAAGCAAATTAATATTCCTTTGCTCATCAGCCAACTGTACTTCCCACACAGCTTGAAGGGAGCTAGCTTAGTTACTACATGTAAAATGAATCTGTTATCAGCTATGACTCTTACCAGCCTGGAAAGCCATTCCGGTACTTGCTGCTGCTATTCTATGAAGACGCCAAGGAATCTCGGTAGGATTTTACCAAAAAAAATAATAATAAAAAAAAAATCCCCTCAAACTTGCAATTGGCTGCTCAACATCTTGGAACATACTTCGGTGTAGTGAGGGGTAAACAGGAGTATAAACACGTGCTTCCGGACGCCAACATCTTCATCCAAATATAGCTGGACACAATCATATGCAAATTTAAAGCATTTACTGCAACAAATGGTTCACCACTTTCTATTGTTGTAATAGATATAAACATTTTAGCTAAATAAAAGAAGTTAAGAAACTGTCCAAATACATGCCTCAGATATATTGCAGGTTTTGATATAGCAAGAGGTAGTGTTAAATTTAATTAGCACATCCACAAGTTTCAATGTTAAAAAAAAAAAGTGAATACCAATACAAAACAACAGTAAAATTGATAATCTAAAAAAAAAAAAAAAAAAAAGAGAAACCAAAGTTCCCTGGCAGTAACTTAAAAAATGATGGAATTAGCAAGTTGACTCAAAGAACCCTACCAGTAGTAAACTGGGCTTTCTAGGCCAACTCACTTAGGACATTTGAGCAAAGGTCTAACAAGGAAACAAGAAAACATACCCATCTTCTCTCAAACACTGAGAAGTAGGTACGTGCACAAATTAAGAAATAAGCAGGTAACTATTTGCTAGTCATGCTTATGCATATATCCCTCATCAGTAAGCTAATGTGCTCTTTATACCTCACCTGTCATCTTCCCTTGCACACTCTCTCGATTCCGTACCTTCCTCTGTACAAGCCTAAGCACTCTTATAAAACCTAGTTCAACTTGCTGTGCTGCATTAGTTTTGAATATATGAAAATTAGTGGCGTTTTAAAAAGCCTCCATTAGCGCAGCGTACACGTGTTTGGCCGTTGTTGTCCACAGTCACTGCTGGGTGTCCACATGCATATTTCTCAAGCAGCATGCTCGCCTAATTGCAGCTGGCATAGCTGCACAATACCATGCGATTCCTCAGCTCCCCAGGGAACAGGAAAGATCTCCATGGAAACAGACAGTAGCACTTGTTCTTTTGATAGTATTCTGACATGGCTGTAATAAAACTTCATTTATGACAATACATTACTGTGGTTTCACCATAGACTTTTGCAGACAAGAGCTGCCATTGCTGCCATTCATTTACTGTTTTGTGTTCTGAACACCATGCACACTGCTCTCACCTATCAAGAAATTTTGCTGTGAGAAAACCGATGCATAAGCAAAAGAGGACATTTAATGTAGTTTTTTTAATAAAACCAGAGGATCTGCATTATTCGGTGAGACATAGCCCAAAAGAATACTAAAGACTCGGTTGATTGCAGAGTGGATTATTAATACAGCTCCTCCCACTGAAGGAGACATGGAATATATGATCCAGAAGCAATTACATGCCCAACTTGAGAGCAAGGGACCTATGTTATAGCAAGACATTTTGCTACTTCCAGATCTACAGGAGGATACTAGAGCAACATGGAGAGAAAAAGGCCACAGCCTCCATGTCCTCCAGGGTGTGCCTGGCTGAGGGTGCTGGGTACAAAACAGGCAGCGGCAGCGGTACTCACTCATGCTGCCACTGATGACAATCAGCTCTACAAAAGGGAGGAAGTGGCAGCAAGAAGGAATCCAGATGCAGAGGAGGGAATGGAGGTGCTTTGATTTAGGACAGTTCCACTTAGACAAGGAAGACAGTTACACACTTCATTATGATAGCCTCCAACAACAAGTAGAAACTGTTTCTGATTTCTTGGCGTTTAAAACATTTCAAAGTGGACACGAAGACACAAACTCAGATGTTGTAAAATGATGGGCTTCTCACACTGGGCACAGAAGACTGGTTCCCTTGCCACAGTAGTGTGGCTGGTGGATAAACTCCACAGGCATTCCAGAGTTTTATCCAATCCTTGCTGTACAGTCTCAACAAAGACCAGCACTACTTATGTGCTCATGATTAATTTTCTGTCAGTAGTTCACTTCAGTCATGCTGTTGGCAGAAGCCAGATAATACTGGCTGAAAACCAACTAAAGGTGCTAAGGTTTGTTTGGTCAGCACCACGTGGAACTTGTCACACAGCGACAACTTCCAGAGATGTAAAGGTGCTGAAAAAGTCCTAGATACTCAGCAGTACACTTGAAAAAGGAAGTTTACAATAACTGTAAGTTTAACATTCAGAGCTTTAAATACATTCACAGTTTTGACAGGTGATAAAAAAAGACAATTTCCTTTTATGTTCATAAGCTTGTAGTAATTACAGGCTCCTATTCCCAGAACCTAAGCAGCAGCAGGCTAATGGCATTGTGGCGTAGCTTCCCCATCACCTCCAATAACCCACAAAGACAGTAAGCACGCCAGTAGCACTCACAGTAACCTGCCTCACTGATGTGGTTGGTGTGAGAAACCAGTCCCTTCCCACTACCAGACAGGGTATAGCCTGCAGCATTACCTGAAGCTAACAGGGTCCTGTTGTTGATAAATCAGCAGCAGCAGCATGGAACACAACTAAGAGGTTCAACTTCCATCTTACTAGAAGTCTACAAAATAAATGGTTAAACACTATCACCTCTTTCCATAAAAGGATAGCAGTTGTGATTCTTGCAGCCTGCACAATGAGGAACAAGACCTTATAATCTGGGGAACTATGATACATGTGGAAAGTCTTTTCATTTCTTTAAGTTTCAAGCTTCTCCGTGATACTGAACTCATTTAAGCACTTTTTAACACTAAAAAGAAAATAATAACCAGTGACAAGCACCATGAAAAACTGCTTTGTAACACGCTCCCTCTTTCCAGTCTTTTTTGAAGGAAAAAGCAAGTGGGAGTGGGGAAAGGAGAGAAGAGAGCAATTGGAACATACTTCATTAACAGTTGTTTCTAAATATAGCTCAAGGTGTTCAAAAAGGGAGTACAGACACTAGAAAGACAACCTCCCCTCTAAGCTATTCTAGCAGGCATGGCCACAAAAGTATCGTATCACGGGTAGTGCAAGCATGAAGTATACTTTGGAGCAGCAATCTTGGCAGATCATCGTATGTTTTCCTCAAATGCTGTATTTGGCATCTGTATTGGGAAGAGAGGAAGGAAATGCTACTGAAACAAAGACGTGGCAGGCTGAGCCCTTGCATTTTTGGCAGCAGCAACAGCTAAGCAGCTGCCAACATAGCTATAGGCTCAGTTCCCTGTAGCTGAAGTGCCCAGAGGAGGTTTCAGGAAGGAAATCATTGCTCTCCTCTCCCTCCCCCATCACTTCTTTTCCATGAAACATGGTAGGGACAAGAGAATGGCATAAAACACAGCAGCAAAGGCTATCATCATCTTCAAAACAGAAGGCAGCAGGCATGCATCAAATGCATTTATTATGCTAGAGGGAAAAGCAAGCAACTGGACTAAGAATTGGGATACTTGCCAGGTCATTTCCAGGTGAACTACCCAGAAGAGAACAAGCACCAGCAGAAGAGATACCTGAAAATTATAATGCTGCTTTACCTAGTCACTGTGCCCACAGGAATCACAGGGCTTATAGGTGAAAAGGTGGTCAAGTTCAGTACAAGACGCAACTATCTTAATTGTGTTAAGCCACAGTAAGGAGAGAGGCAGGCTCCCGTTCTGGTATGTTCTTATTTTCACACAGCATAGCCAGCTGCTGAAGCCCATCTCTCTATTTTTATTGCCCAAATTTCAGTATTTTCCATTTTTTTTTCTTCTAGCTGGATAAGAAGGTTTCTTTTTGCCAAAGTACCATGGATATGCACAGAAACTACATCTCCCATCTGGAAATCTGATACTAACTCCCTCCATGCCCAAAGAAAAAGACAGAATGGCTGCAGGTACTCTGCCATCTCTGTCGTGAACTTGAACATCGTGCATCTTGACATGAACTGTATTAATTTGTAGTCTTCAGTGACTCAGGTCAAAATTTCAAGCAAGCTGTAACAGAATGTAATGGCATATATGGTCCTGGAAATCCTGCCCTCAAGATCTCAGTTCTTTTGCTTTAGACTGTTTCACGGGGTGTCAAATGCAATCACCAAGAACTCCTTGTCTCTACTGCCCATTTACCATACAGATTTTGGAGCACAAACTGTTTGTTTTGGATTTGGTAACCAACTTCTAAAGCACATGAAAGGATTATCAATAGTGAGGGGTGAAGGAATTAAAAACATCTTTGCTAACCATCTGTGTTTGAATAACAGCAAGCTATATGGGCCCAAACATACAGTATTACTCAGAGACCAGTAAGAGGCTGAACTGCCAATAAGATATGAGCTAAAAACCATGTTGCTTAAGAGACTCTACAGCAAAGCTTAGAGATAAACCAGCTCTTGAATACAGAATCTTTACCTCAGCATATATTGACATAAACAGGATGCCTATATCACTGTACAAACATGAACTATTTTCCTTGAACTCCCCTCTTATTCCCCTTCTTATTGGTGCTGACAAAATAGCTAGACTTTCTAGATGTTATTGCAGATGTTTTGTAGATAAACGCAGATTTTACCTTTCTCCACAGTTCAGATTAAGCATTTGTTTCACCAGACACATAGAGGCTATGGTTTGGATGTTTCTGTTTATCATTTCCTAAATTTCTTCCCCCAAAATATTCCTTCCCCCTCTTTCCTCCCATCTAGGCCAATCCTTCTCATCCCTTTTTTTTTTTTTTTTTGGTACAGACACTGTGGGGTTTTGGACTTGTATCAGTGACATGTAGTCCTTAATTCTGTACTTCATACACACATTTCAGTACGAATTGTATCAATTTCATGGAATTTCCAACTTCTAGTTTACTGTTAACAGACATGACCAAGACATTCAGCTCACCTTTCTCACATTTCCTTCCCTACTGTCTGAGAAGAAATGCATGAATGTCTACTCCTACAGATATTCTTACGTACATGGTCCAAAACTACCAATACATAGGTGCACATTGTTCTCGCCTAAACAAACTTACTGGGTTTGAGTTCAAAATGTTCACTGTACAACTGGCTTCAGCATCACTCACACACTAAAGTGTATGTTCCAATGCTTTTCTGAAAGAATACTGTCAAAAATGCACTAACCTTAAGCCATTGAATAGCTGTTTAGATTTATCCAGTAAGTAGCAAAAGTCTGTCACTGTTTTCCTCTCTGCTTGAGGAATATCATCTTCAGCTCCTCCTGATGACATGATTTCTTTTAGGGCAAACTCAGTCCTATGAAGAAGAAAATAGCCATATTACTCAAAAATTGAGGGCTACTATGAACTCATTGAGATGCATATACAGTTCCATGGAGATGGTAACAAAGAGCGTGCAATTCTCCCACAGGTTACTCTTCTCAAGACTCATTAAAAATAACAGCTGAGAATCAAAGCAGGGGACTAATTATTGCACAATGCACCAGTTAACAGAGCAAAATTAAAGTGGCACAAGAGTCATAAAATAAAATAACTCTGACAACTGTCTTCACAAACACAAAGCTGCCAACAAAAGGACTGTAACACAAACAGTACTTGGGTTTCATACTTGGACAAAGAAATCCTCTAAATTTGCCTTTCTGCAGAGGTGTTTATCCTGGAGCTGTACTTAGAGAGACTAGCCTCAGTTCTGTCTAGATTTCATTTTCTTCTGTAACTGCTTAAAACTGTAGCTTACTAGTTCCTGTTGCTAAAACATCGCAAATTTAGATAGAATGCTAAAAAATATCCTGCTTCCTTTCTATTTCCTCATGACTGTTTAATTTCATGGCTTGCACTGCCCACAATTATACCTGCAGATCTATTTTTACTGTTCATATGAGCAAAATGTCGTGTTGTACAGTAATGACCTGAACAAAAAACTAAGATATAATGTAGATAATCCTAGTATTAAGTAAGGGACTATGAAAGCCTATAAAGGCAGAGTAGCTTTTAAAATCTTACTTGAAACATACATAGATATAAAATGATCCTTTTGATCATCCAAAGGTGAGCTAGAGATTTCTCAGCAGCAGCAACAAAACATACTCCTCTGAAAATGGCTGCCAGGTCTTTAGCTCGTCTGTGCTCTCTAAGGATTTTAGTGAAAGATAAACACAGCTCTACCTAGGCAAATGCAGAGCTTTCACTTTCAGCAACTTCTCTACCCATTCTGGTAAGCACTTCTGTTAAGCAACAAGTTTCCATTTGTGCAGAAACTGTTTGGATGCTATTTGCACAAATAATTACCTAGAAGTCCAAATTCAAGCCAAGAAATGGCAAAGCGAACTCCTTACAGTCACTGGAAAGTGCCCAGAAACATCTTTCATCAATTGTCATGAAAAACCCTCACAATAACTAGACTTTGGAAATGCTTCCCTGAAGAAACACCAAATGCATGAAGAAATTGGCAGTTCCCCCCTAGCTTTTGGGGATAAGTTAGTGACCATATCCTGCCAACGAAACAGTTTCATGATTTCTCAGTTTTGACAAGATGCAGCACACATTCACTTGTCTTTTACACCCCCCCGTGACAGTGCACTAGAGCACTAGTGCAAGGACATGGGGTGCACTGCACAAACTGCTTGTTGAAGAGTTCCAGAAATAGGTAGGAAGTATCTATGTATTGTCAGGTAATTGTAATATGGGTGCCAGACAGTGTAAGAGAGTTCAAAATATACCAACCAGCTGTCAAAAGCTGTTGGCATGAGCCTAGCAAGCAGGACATGAATATTCTGAAGTACCGTCCTGTGTTTGAAACCTCCAAACGTTTACATTCACACAGCAAGAAACAAACAACAGGGAGTACTTAAAGCAGCAACATATGAAATCAAAGTGAACAGTGACAGCTAAAAAACAGATGTCAGAAGTAGCCAGGAGGTGATTCAGGGATTTCAGGAAGAGGGACAATACCCCAGGTCCTGTGTGCTCTGCTCCAAGGGTGACCTAAGTCCTGCGGCGAGGCCCTTGGATTCTGCAGCTCTCCACTGTGGTAGACCAGGCACTCTAGAGCAGCTTCAGATACATTTTCAAAAATTGAGGAGCTTGCTTAAGTTACAAAGTATGTTTCATACAGTCTGTATATCATTCCTTCAATTTCACAATAAAGTCAATTTTATTTTATGCTACCCTTAAGTTATACTATTCAGCTATGCCAACCGCTGCTAACATTGGCCAACTGAACCTGTGTTAGCCCTGACGCAGGCAAATAAAACCAACTGCAGTTCTCATGTTAAGGGAGTCCACTAGATCCACTGTGAAGAGGGCCATTTATGCAATCAATAAAAGATTTGCTAGAAAATCTACTGCCTGCTGATCTGAAAGGTATCAGAAGGCATGAAAAATACTTGTTGCAGAGAAAGGAGAAAAAACAACCTCTTTCAGGTTATAGGCAATTCAGTATTTTGAAAGCCTACTCCAAGCCCAGTCAGTTCCTCAATATTTAGCACAATACTAGTTCTTGGAAAGTTAGAAGAACTGAGAGAAAAGAGGAAAAAAAAAGAAGAGGGGAGAGGGGGATAAAAAAAGAGGGTTTTAAAAAAAAAAATAAAGAGAGAGATTACCAAACTTAATAGGGCTGATAGGGCTGTCGGCACATGGGTTTGGACCTATTACCAAAGCAGAAGGCAAAAGCACCTTTTCTGCTCATGGAAAGAAACTGCCGAAAGCAGAGGAAACAACCTGTCTTCTTATCAGAGACACCTGATGGAGGAACCTAGGAAACAAACCACATTTAAGCACATTCTGACATTGCACAGAGATCTGAAAAATTAGAATACTCCAGAGACACTCCACTAGGACATTCAGTTTTTCCTTTATTCGCAGGTTCAGAAATGAAAAACTGACTGTTGCAATCAAGCCCCACAGATGGTATTCAGGCAAGCAGTAGCCTGAGTTTAGGCTAAAATGTGGTAATACATAGCCAGGGTGAGGAGTAAGAGGCAGAGACTGACATGAAGAAGCATACAAAAGCAGTACGCTTACTAGAACAGTCAGGGATTTACTTTTTGAAAGAGAGGAAATGAAGTGAAGTCTCGGTCACTCAAACCTATCTCCAGAAAAGAATCCCTACTGGTAAAACAGACTGCTCTACACAGAAGACATGAAACTACAATACCTGCAAAATTACTTCACTCTACAACTGAGTAAGCTGAAATCTTAAAAAACACATACACCAACATGTGTATACACACATCAAGTCTTTAGGTTGTATCGCTTTAGAGATCAAAATATCAATAAATGCCTCATCAAGTTCCACTTGAAAGTGAAGGTGCCACAAGCACAAAAAGCAGAGACCTCCCCG